GGCGGTAGAAGTTCACCGGGTGATCCTCGCTTCGCAGCCATGCCATGCCCAAGATCATATCGAATTTGGTGTCCAAGATATCGAAGGACACCACCTCGCTTGCATGCGGGGCAAAGTACACGGGGACGTCATCTATGCACCGGTCTATTGACTTGTGCGTGTGACCATCTGCCAACGTGACTTGCGCAGGCTGGGACTTCCTCCGGATGCGTGGGCCAAGGTCGGCACGTACCATAAAGTCCTGGCTCATGTAGTTGCGAGATGCTCCGCAATCGATCAAGGCACTGCAGGTCGCCTCTCCGATCTGAATGCGTACATATAACAATGGTGCGTCGATGTCGTCGTACCGTTGTGTCTTGAACTCACGGTCGACCTTCACAATGTAGGCGTGAAGGTCGACAACCTCTTCTCCGGCGTCCATCAACGGAGTTGGTACTGCAGTGTGCAAGTAATCCGGCAATTGTGCCATGAGCACGTTGCAATGCGGTTTTGGCAATCCACCGGACCAAGGAAGGGGCATCCAGTGGAAGTCCGCAAATGTCAACGAGTCGAGCTCTTCAAGTCTTGACCATGACGTTGAATCCCCGGTGATAGATGGCGGCGAAGCTACCGAATCGGTTGCCGATTGTGATGAAACCGTGCATGCGGTAGATTGTTGCACGTGGAGCGGTTGGTCCAACGGTGGGACCAAGTAGACAGCATAGTGCTCGTAAGTGTACCGAGGGCTTGCGACATTCGCATCCTCCCCATAGGAGGCCGCTAGCAAGGTGGCCGAATCTGGCGGAGTGAGAGGTGGAGTCGCCTCACCTCCCGCGGAACTCAGTTTCCCGAGTTGATACGAGGCCGAACATCCTCTTGCCTTGATCCGGGCATTGGGAGGTCTTGTGCTTGGTGCTGTTGCACCAATAGCAGCAGCCGTAGCGGCCGCGCCACTTGTATTCCCCCTCGGTCAAGTGAAACTAGACCCATGGTGCTGGCTGTCCGTTTCCGGCCAGCGATGCGGTTTTCGCCTTCTCGTTTCCTCGGGACTTGTTGTTGTTTCGCGGCTGGACAGCAGCCACCTGATGTCCCTCACGTGACGCTTGGGTGGCTGTCGGGTCTTCGACAATGTTGTCCGATAGGACTGCAGCGACATGCTGCGGCCGCGAACCAGTTTTCACCTTTTCCACATAGGTTGGCTGCCATGCTGATTGCTCATGTGCAGCTACCCAATTGGTCTTGATGATCTCCCTTGCCTTGTCGATGATTTTGGCGAAGGTCGTGTATTGCTCGCGATCACCAAGTGCAAGGCTCAAGGCGACACATGACCGGTTGTAGAACTCGCGGCGCAGATGCGAAAATGGCAAGTCAAGATCGGGCATTGCCACGATCTTCTGCCATTCCGTGAGCCAGTCACGTGTCGATGTGTTGCCTTGCGTCATGATGAAGAGGCGGTTGATGGCGAGCGCAGGGGCGTCGTCCACGATGAACCGCTTCTTCCATAGTCGTGTTAACTCTTCCCAAGAGATCTAGTCTTTCAGATCTGCAACGTCGACGCCGTGGACGGTTGCCAGGTGGCTTAACCAGATCTGGCATCCGCCCTTTGAGTTGAGGAACAGGGCGGCGATGTACGCGCGACGAACAGAATCTGAAGTTGCGTTGTAAAGCCCTCCCACCAGAGGACCAGGTCTTGATGCGTATAATCATCGAACTTCTCGATTTGGAATGTCGGCATCTTGTAGTGCTGCACGGTGTTGCTATCCTTGTTAGGCAGCTGGTGCAGTTGCTGATTCTCGGTCTTCAAGGTGTCCAGTTGATTGCTGATGGTGGCTGGTGCAGCGAAGGTACTGATGTCGCCGAGCATTGCGACTACGTGATCAACTCGTTCCTCCAGTTGGCGGGCAGAGGGTACACTGCTGGCCTCGCCAGCCTCCGGTCTTGGTGCAGTTTGCTCCAAGTCCTGTGCACGGGAATCGAGTGCCTGTGCTGCATCCTCGTGCTGAGCCTTGTGGTTCCGTACGGCCCGCTGGAGGTTCGCCAGCTCGGACTGCGGGTGGTTACAAGTGTAAACCAACCTGGTCACGAGTTTGGCCATGAATTCCTTATGCTGCTCTTCCGATGTCGCGTCATCGTGCTCCTCGGATGGTTCAAAGTGCCAAAACTTGAGCTTTTCGATGCTAGTGGCTTCATGCCGTTGTAGCAGATCTTGGGCTTCCTTGCGGTGCGCCTGGGTATCTGCGTCTGCTTCGGCCTGAAGCCGCTGCTTCTCAGCTATTGCCGCCGCTTCAGCCTGTAGGCGGACAGCCTCGGCTGCCAGCTAGCGCCGTTCCTCAGCCGCGATTAATGCGAGCTGGGTTTCGAAACGCTGTCGGTACTCGGCAATGGACTCATTTGCCAGTTGGGCTGGCACGCCCAGAACTGAGCCCGACATGGTTGTGGGGCACTGTTGACGTGGCATTGCTGACGTGGCACTGTTGACGTGGCACTGCTGACGTGGCACTGTGACTGACGTGGGCGATCCAGACTACCGGACAGGGATCCGGACCGTCCGTAGTCCGGTGTCCGGTTCAATTGTCTGGATCCCGGTCCGGTTTTCCGCCAGGTAGGGCAACGGCCAAAAAAAATTTTGGCGGCCCAGGCCGTTTCGTTACGACCTGGGCCGCCAACCAAAAATACGGCCCGATTTTTTGTAGGCCTCTGGACTGTATCCGGTAGGGCCGGATTTGTTTTTCCTTTTTTTGTCGGAACTTTCGAGTTCCTTTTTTTTTTTGGCCGTTTGAAAGGGGTTTTGGGCGTTTTGGCGATTTGGCGGCCTGGTAATGCAAGCGGGCTTCGAATTCGAAGTCCGAATCAACGAGTTTGGCCACCCCCTCCCCCGCTACGACATTCGGAGGCATGCACACGCGCTACTGCTGCCATCGCCCGGGGGAACAAGAAGCAAGGCGAGAAGGCGAGCACAACAGGCAAGGAGCAGACGTGGAGAAGGCGCAGCAGGGCTAACAACGGACGCAGCAAGGGCAATGCAAGGAGCACAACACGGAGCAGCCAAGCAGGTCAGTCTCTCTCTCTCTCTCTCTCTCTCTCTCTCTCTCTCTCTCTCTCTCTCTCTCTCTTGTCGACTCCCACCTCCCTCTCCTCCTCCTCGTCCTTTCATTGTCATGGACTTCGTCGTCGTCCTCCTCCGTTTTCCTCCTGCTTGTTCCTTCTCCTCTCTCTCTCGTCGACTCCCTCCTCCCTCTCCTCCTCCTCGTCCTGTCATCGTCATGGCCTTCGTTGTCATCCTCCTCCGTTTTCCTCTTGCCTGTTCCTTCTCCATGTCTTCGTCCTCCTCCCGCCCCTCCTCCTCCACGTCTTCGTCCCCTTCCCGCTCCTCCTCCACGTCTTCGTCCTCCTTCCGCTCATCCTCCACGTCTTCATCTTCCTCCCGCTCCTCCTCTTCCTCCACATCGTCATCCTCCTCCATGTCTTCGCGTCGTCGTCCTCCTCCATGTCTTCGCTCCCTTCCTGCTCCTCCCCGTGTTCGTCCTCCTCCCACTCCTTCTCCACTTCTCCATCCTCCTCTCACTCCTCCATTTCTTCGTCCTCCTCCCCCTCGTCCTCCTCCTCATCTTCGTCATGCACTTGCTATAACCTCCTCCCCCCCTCTCCCCTGCATGTGCCACATGGTTGGCTTTTTCGTTTTTTTTTTGTTTTTTTTTTTTTCCGAGATGTTTGTCGTAGTGTTTCTTGAAACTTGCTCGTGCTCTCCTCCCCCGCGTCATCCTCCTCCTCCATGTCTTCGCGTCGTCGTCGCCCTCCATGTCTTCGCTCCCTTTCTGCTGCTCCTCTGCGTGTTCGTCCTCTTCCTACTCCTCCTCCACGTCTCCGTCCTCCTCTCACTCCTCCTCCAATTCTTCGTCCTCCTCCCCCTCGTCCTCCTCCTCCTCATCTTCGTCATGCACTTGCTATAACCTCCTCCCCCCCTCTCCCCTGCCCGTGCCACATGGTTGGCTTTTTCGTTTTTTTTTTTTTTTTTTTTGGATGTTTGTCGTAGTGTTTCTTGAAACGTGCTCGTGCTCCTCTCCTCCGCGTCGTCGTCCTCCTCCATGTCTTCGCGTCGTCCTCGTCCTCCCACTCCTCTTGTTCGTCCTCCTCTCACTCCTCCATGTCTTCGTCCTCCTCCCCCTCGTCCTCCTCCTCATCTTGGCCATCGTCATGCACTTGCTATAACCTCGTCCCCCCCTCACCCCTGCCCGTCCCACATGGTGGGCTTTTAGAGCCTTTTTCGTTTTTTTTCTTTTTCTTTTTCGTTTCTTTTCTTTTCATTTTCCGTTTTTCTTTTTCTTTTTCTTTTTCTTTTTCGGGATGTTTCTCGTCGTGTTTCTCGAAACTTGCTCATGCTCCCCGTCATGATCATTACCTCGGTCATTGACGTCTTCGTCCCATTCCACGTCCTCCTCCTCCTCGTCGTTTCGCTCGTCGTGTTCCTCGAAACTCGCCACTAGCACATGCACTAAAGACGAAAAATATGGCGGTGTATTTTCCCATGTTCTAGCGGAAGATTCATTCCCATGCAGTGCATTGCCTGTTACAAGCTTTTCCCACTTTTCCTCCCAGTTTTGCTCTCGATCTTTCCATGCAAACGAAAAATATGGCGTTTCTTTCCATGCAGTGCGGGATCTTTTCGACCCTTCTCCTCCTTCTCGTCGTCGTCATCATCCTCTCGCTTCTCCTTGTCATTGTCGTCGTTCTCACATCAATCAATCAATCCAGCACAAGGATTGATTGATTGATGGATGGATTGATGGATTGATGGATTGAATCAATCAGAACTTGGACGGCGTTTCTTTTAGCTTGATTGATTGATTGATTAATTTATAGGTGCTGTTGATCTCAACCATGGTTCTTTTAGCTCACATTTTAACCCCATGGGGGGGGGTTGGGGAATCGCTGTCAATGTTTTGATTCGAAGTTCTGTTATGATCGGACTACATGTAATCATTGAAAGTTTTGTTATGATTCATTTCGACCCCATGGGGGTGGCGAAATGTTGTCAAATTTTTGATTGATTTATTGATTGATTGATTGACCAGCTTGTTGGATTGATTGAGGGAGAGGGAGAGACGGAAAGACAGGGGGAGAGAGACAGACGCAGACTCAGAGGACATTCGATCTGATCTCCCGTGGCCCCTTGTTGTTTGATTGGGCGGTTTTCATTGTCCATAGGATGCCTAAAGGAGGTGCAGATGCCATTAAGCGGCACTTCGTGCAGGGCGAAGTTGTGGGGGCTGCGGACAAGGGCAACTACAGATGGAAGTGCAGGTACTGCGAACATGAGGTCCCGGGCACTGCGAAGCACTACGCTGAGCACTTTATGTCGACGACAAAGGGGCCAAGATGTAACATGGCGAGAGTGAGAGGTAAACTGTCGGCAGAGGAGAAAGAGAGGAGAGAGTTGGGCCGACTTGAGGCTATTGCTCTGGTTTTGGGAAAGCGGCAAGCGCATGAGGCTGTTGACGAATTTGACGAATGTCGTTCAGACGAGAGGAGCATGGACAAGCAAGCTGTGGGGGAGGACGATGAGTGCAATAGCCCAACCTCTCCGGAGGCCAATACCCGAAAGCAGCCAAACAACGTGCATTCATCCAACATCCGGGGACGGCAAACCACGCTCGAAGAGGGTGGGGCAATCGTGTCAAAGAATGAGGAAGCCCAACGGTCAATTGATGATTGGTTGGTGTTTGATCGGATCCCATTCACGATGGTGCGCAGCAAGTACTTCTTGAGGATGTTGCAGAAGGTTCGTGAAGCGGGGCGGTCCTTCATCCTTGCGAAGTACGATGTGCAGCGAACGAAAAGATTAGACCTCAGCGAGGCGCGTGTGGCGCAGGGAATAGCACAGCAACAAAAACGATGGGCACGCACGGGCTGCATGCTCCAATTGGACGGGTGGACTGATCGGAGAGGACGGCCACACTTGAATGTGATGGTCTCCTTTCCGACCAGTGTTGTTTTTTGGAAATCCCACTCCATGTCGGGAAAGGATAAAGGAGCGGAGGCTTACTTCAACATTTTGTCGGAGGCAATCAAGGAGGTCGGTGAGAAAGTTGTCGTCAGTGTCATCATGGACAATGCGGCTGTGTGTGCAAGAGCGGGCAGGCTGGTGGAGGACACATTTCCCACCATCTTTCATGTACCATGCGCAGCGCATTGCCTAGACCTCATGCTGCACGACATTGGGCGGACAGATTGGGTGAAGGAGGTTGTGGGAAAGGGCAATAACTTGGTGAAGTTCTTCATGAACCACCAACGCGTACGTGACATCTTCTACGTGCACTCCGGCGGGAGGCAGCTGTTGCGACCTGCTGCAACACAGGTCGCTACAAATTTCCATATGCTCGACCGCTTAAAAAAGCAACGCAATGCAGTGGTTGCCACGGTCAGTCATAATGCTCGCTGGAAGCCGACCGTGGTACCTCATGCGCAGCGCGACACATTCTACGAGATGGAGGAGATCGTCCTTGATGGAGCGGGCTTTTGGGAGGGCGTCAACAAAGTCACCTCCGCTGTTTATGACATTGTCCTGCCGCTGAAGGTGGTGGATGGCACTGGACCCACTGTCAGCAAAGTGTATGTGAAGATGGATAAGGCGGTGGAAGATTGCGGGCCAATTCAAAATTGAAAAAGGATGAGCGGGAGGACATCGAGGAAATGGTTATGCGTCGATGGAATGCCATGACCACACCGCTGCATTGTGCAGCATTATTCTTGGATCCGGACTACCGCTCGTACGAGCCACAAAACGACCCGGAGATCCAAGACAGCTTCTACACGTGGTTGTATACGTGGTTGAGGGGATGGTCGCAGGAAGTGATAGACCAGGTGGAATATGAGGTGGATTGTTGGGTGCAGAACATTGGGAAGTTTTCCACGGAGAAGGCGATGGAAGCGGCGCGGAAGCAGAACCCTGCAGCATGGTGGCTTCGGTGGTGTACCGAGTTACGGTACTTGCAGCCACATGCCATTCGCCTTCTTGGCCAGGAATCATCTGCCTCGCGTTGCGAGAGAAATTGGAGTCTCTTCGAGGCGATCCACATGCGCCCACGTAACGGCTTGGCCCCCGAAACAATGCAGAAACTCGTGTACTGCAGGTGGAATATGTACCTGATTGACACCTTGTAGCAGATGCCCGAGATGGGCCACGATGTGATTGACTGGGATGACCCGCCAACCGAGGAAGAGCACAAGGAGCAAGCTGAGCGGGCAAAGTTCGCTGAACGCAGATTGAAGCGGATCGAGTCGACTGGGGAGGATGCTGCTCCACCTGCTGATGAAGGGGGTGAAGAAGGTGGTGATGAGGCTGCTGATCATCGCTGTGAGCCATGCGAATTGAATGCCATTGAGAATGGGCAAGAGGAGGACTGGAAAGGACTAACGAAGGCAGGCATGTATATGGCCTCACGTTCGCAGAGACAAGTGCGCAAGAAGGCACGGTCCTTGGGAACAGCGGAGCATATGCGCAAACATATGAAGGGAGGTGGTGGAGCAAATCCTCCTGGTGCTGCAACAGCAGCGCAGGTTGTGCAGCAAGAAAAACGCCCAAGAGGCAGGCCACGAAAAAACAGCATGGCCCCTGAGAATGGAGAAGCTTCGAATGTGGCTGCTATAGAGGAACAGGGCACCAAAAGCCAAGCAGATGCAGAGGAGTGCAGCGGCAGCKAGRACGAGAATGAAGRAGAGGGGGGTGGAGGTGGTGGAGCAAATCCTCGTGGTGCTGCGACAGCAGCGYAGGTTGTGGAGCAAGAAAAACGCCCAAGAGGCAGCCTGCAAAAGAACAACTTGGCCCCTGAGAATGGAGAAGCTTCAAATGTGACTGCTATAGAGGAATGGGGCAAAAAAAGCCAAGCAGATGAAGAGGAGTGCAATGACAGCGAGGAGGAGCACGAAGGAGAGGAGCGTGAAGACCACGGTCTTCAACGAAAGAGGCGTTGTGATAGGAGACAATGTGAACAGGGCACTGATGTCGCTACATCTGAATATGGCACAAGCGACGAAGAATGCCCTATCAGTGATAAATGCCAAAAGGGGTGAGAGAGAGAGAGAGAGACCGAGAGTAATTTGAGTTGTCAACTGTCATTCACAGTGAATGACAAAGAGACCCGGTCGGGACGCCTGAACTTTGAAGTTTGAAGTCTAAAAATCTCGAAGTTCAAAGTTCAAACTATTTTATAAAAGGTTATTCGGACTTATTCCTAACTTCATGCCAGTTTGGTGCTTGTTGAGCTCTTTGCAATCCATATGGTCGTTGCTGACTTTTGACTTTCTTAAAGTTTCTTTCTTTGCAGAATGTAGCTGTGTACTTCATAAGGTATGTTCAGCAAGTTTCCAAAACTTGGTTACTTTTCCCACTTCCCTACTTCCCACGTCCCCCATTTACCCCAGGCCTTTGCTGGCTTTTCAGTGTTTTCGGTCTTTGCAACTTTGCATAGCACTTCGTACTTGGCACGATGTGCACGTTTTTTTTTTTCTTTTTTTTTTTTCTTTTTTTTTTTTTTTTTTTTTTTTTTTTTTTTTTTTTTACATCCGGACATATATATCCATCCAGACAGGGATCCGGACATGTTAATCCGGACATGTCCGGATTAACCGAAGAATACCGGAAATCCGGACATCTGGATCGAACCGGAAAGTCCAGAGTCCGGTTTCCGGACTTGTCCGGTTCACTTGTCCGCCGCTGCCATGACTGTGACTGATGTGGCACTGCTGACGTGGCACTGCTGACGTGGCACTGCTGACGTGGCACTGTTGCTGATGTGGCACTGTTGCTGACGTGGCACTGTACCAACTCGGAAATGCATAAAAAGGGGTGGGTGGGA